AACTCAGGCACGGTGGCGGGCTGGGCCAACGGCTAGCAATTCCTACGATGTTGCCAAATCAGAACAAAAAGACTGTAATGTGCAGTGATCCCACGAACGTGACCAAAGGCCAGATGCGAACATACGCCTTTGGTGTCTGTCGCGGGATCGCGCACGCTGGCGCGAGCATCGCTGTCGGCTGTTCAGTCGACCAGCACAAGCATAGTACTGCCAGCGAGCTGGTACAAGGACAGCCGGGAGACGGAGCTCTGGCTGAGCTCTGACTGAGCTCCTCTGGGCACCCCTCTTGGGCAATGTTTCGCAGTCTCGCCTTCTCGGACTTGAGTACAATTGCAAGGCAGCCCAAGCGTCAGAGGCCCCCGGGATCGCCTCGAGACGGCCCCCAAGGCCCCAAAGAGGGGCGCGACCAGCTCCAGGGCAACCTCACGAGGGGCCCAAAAACGCACCGACGCCAGACCGCTCAGAGGCCCACAGGAGGCTCCGAGGAGAAGCTACCCAAAGACCCCAAGGGGAGTACCAAGGTCCTGGTGTCCGCAACTCAGGCACGGTGGCGGGCTGGGCCAACGGCTAGCAATTCCTACGATGTTGCCAAATCAGAGCCAAAAGACTGTAATGTGCAATGATCCCACGAACGTGAACAGAGGCCAGATGCGAACAGGCGCCTTTGGTGTCTGTCGCGGGATCGCGCACGCTGGCGCGAGCATCGCTGTCGGCTGTTCAGTCGACCAGCACAAGCATAGTACTGCCAGCGAGCTTGTACAAGGACAGGTCTTGAGAACAATTGCAAGGCAGCCCAAGCGTCAGAGGCCCCCGGGATCGCCTCGAGACGGCCCCCAAGGCCCCAAAGAGGGGTGCGATAAGCTCCAGGACGACCTCACGAGGGGCCCAAATCGCGCCACCGCCGGACCGCGCAGAGGCCCACATCAGACTCCAACGATGCCCCCGAGAGGCTCCGAGGAGGCCCCAAGGAAACCCCCAGGGAGGCACCCCAAAGACCCCAAGAGGAGTCCCACGAGCCTCTGATCCACAACTCAGGCACGGTGGCGGGCTGGGCCAACGGCCAGCAATCCGCGGCCCCCTGCGACTTGCCACAGTGCTGCACAGCGTGCCGAACGTTTGGTTGCTTTTGTCAATTTAGATGTTGCCAGTGGGGTCTCGGCCAATTTCGCCGGCCACCCGCATGGACTCCTCAAATGCGCCCTCAATTGCCCAAATCGCCTTCAAGACGGCTAAGATTGAAAGGGCCCTGGGACACACAAATAAATACACACAAATAAAAGGATTTCCCATATTTTCATATATTTCCTTAGTTTTTGTATTCCCCCCCACTCCCCATGTTTTCCCTTAGTTTCCTGGGAATCGACGAATTAATTGTGTCTGTATGTTTTTCCCCTCCTGATCAATATGGTCTCCTTAAGACGCCTCTAGGACGGACACGATGGCTCAAGAAGGCTCCAAGAGGCCCCCAAATAGGACCAACATGTCCAAGATGGACAGGACGGCCTAGACCGTCCTGCAGACGGCCTTAAAGGGCCCCCAAGACGATCCAAGAGAGCTCCAAGGGGACCTCAATTCCACAATCAACAATTTCCCTGCAATGAGCCTAATTAGCGTTCTGGCCTTGTTGGGGTTTCCGACGCTACAAGACTGCCCCCATAAACCCCAAAGATCGCCCCAAGAGGCGGCCAAGACGGCCCAGGAGAGCCCAAAGACGGCCCAAAACGACCTCAAGAAGGTCCCATGGGCCCCCAAGACGGCCCTAAAGCACCCAAACAGGGACCAACGACTGCTCAGAGAGAACCACGGGACGGCCTCCGAAGGACAAGAGGTTCCTTTGAGGCCCCCGGAGTCCCAAAATAAACTTCCAAGAGGCCCCAGCCGGCCTCCAACGGGCCCCTGGAGGCCCCCAAGAGGCTCCCAGGAAGCCCCCGGGAAATTTCTTCCTCCTCCTCCTCCTCCTCTTCCTCCTCCTCCTCCTTGTGCTCCTTCTCCAGATCATCCTCATTTTGCTTCCTCTTCCAAGTGTTCGCCCGAAGGGTTTCACAACGGCTGGGGGAACATACTCCAATGGCTTGGCAAGATTTCGGCCCAACGTTTGGCCGCCTGGGCGTTTCCGAAAGGCGAAGGATGGCGGTGGTTCGCCGTAAGCGTCTTCGATCCGCCGCCCCCTGTTGCTTGCCACAAGGGTGCAAGGGCTTAGCCGCAGGGATCGACCTAAACAATGTTGTTCGTCTTTGCTTTACTTTCGCTGTCTCTAGTTTTGTCTTCAAACCTCGATTGCCACAAAGAGACATCGAAACAATAACGGCCCACGAGATCGCCAAAACACAGTTTGAGTCGACCCTTGCTTAGCCGCATCCAGCAACTCCAGGAGCCCACCGGTGCCGTCCGGGTGGCCTCCCTGCACCCTTGCGAACAATCCAGGAACCTCGTTGAGACGAAGCCAGGACGAGGATAAGATCAAAAGAGGATAGATCGAGAATCTCTGAGATCTGGTGGCTCTGGAGGATGTCTCGGGCGTCGCGGCGTTCTCACAACGTCCCAAAACGCTCTGAGAGGCGTTCCGGGCGCGTTCTAGAACGAATTGTTCTCCTCGTCCTAGCCCCTTCCGGTCTCTGCGCCCTTTCGAAGAGTCCGGGAACCTCGTTGGCCTCCTGGACGCCATAGCTTGAGCAGAAACCGACCGTCCCGGCATCTCGATAGGTCTACCACGACATTTTCGTACAACCCAAAAACATTCCAAGAACGGAAACAATGTTTTTAATAACAGAACCCGATGTGTTAAAACAACAGTCTCAGCCAGAAATGTTCTAAGAACATTTCGTGCAGACCACAAAAGCGTCTTGGAACATTATCTGGTGGGCCTATAGGTAAACCAAGACGCTTCGCCACTGCTCCAATCGTCCGAACACTTGTTCGACGCTATCGTCGCGCCGGCCAAGCCCTGGGCCGCGTTCGTGGCACACGAGCTGTCTATCGTCGAGGGCCAGGGCCGTCAGACGGACTCGCGGGTCGCACACTGCGCGCGCTATCCTGGCCACCTGGCCGGCCTGGGGACGGATGGGGGCCTCCCCATTTGGATGTTGCGAGGGCGCTGGCTTGTCCTGTGCTGGCACCCTGCTGCAGCCCTCTTGGGGGTCCTCTTGGGGCCTCCCTGGGGCGCTCATTGGGTTCCCCTGCGGCCATGGAGCTCGGAGCCACCTTGCGGTCGCTCACGGCCACGCGGGGCCCGAGTCTGGAGGCAGTCGGCGGGGCGTCGTAGGGCCACCCTTCGGAGGACTCCGGGCCGTCTCTGGCGCCGTCGGGGGGGCGCGGCAGTCGTCCGCCTCGTGGGCTCACGAGATCCAATGGGGGCCCTTGTGGTCCTTTTGAGCCGTCTTAGAAGCATCGGGGAACACTTCGATCGTAAAGCCGATTGACGCCAAAAATAGACTGCGAACCAAATGTCCGCCACCGCGCTTGCAGCACTTAACGTGTGTGTTGCCCTTGCGCATATTGTCGCTACGTCGCGCTGTGCGAAAGAGTCGTGAGTCCAACCCCCGACACATCGAGCCCACCATGCGTTTATCTTTTCGACGGCCTCCTGATCCCTTTCCACTTCCGAAATGATATCCAAACGATTCGAATCAAACATTCCGTGGCACCAACCGCCCTACGCGCTCCCCAGACCCAATTCCCTATTTGTTAAGCCATGTTCGCATCTCGAAGGCGCTTCGCAGATCCATCTAGGAGCCTATTGAGGCAACCTTGGCGCCGCATTAACCCCGAATGGGCGTCTTAGGGGACATGTTTGGCCGTCTGCGTTGCATCCTGGAGCCCAGCGCAGTCATCTTGGTGCCCTCTTGGCGCCCTCCTGGGCTATCTTGGAGCCTCTGAAACCTCTGGGACCCAAACAAATCAACCCCTTGACAGAACCAGGGCCTGCTGGACGCCAGGGCCGCGGCCAGCGATGACCCATCACATGCCCCCCCGATGAATTGCTTCGCTCAACAAATGGGTCACATGCTACGCGCACTTTGCTGTGGTTTGGGCTTTCTGAGATCGAGCAACAAAAAACTACACAATACACAAACTGTCGTCGGTGGAGGCGCCGCCAGGGGGGCTCCAGCACCGATCCAAGAAACCCGCGCGGAGCTCAGTAAACTTATGTGTATGCAGGTTGTTCTTCTTCGATGTCTGGCAGCCCTCGTAGAAACTCTTCTGCCTCCCAACTTCGGTGGCAACTCACGGGCGTCTCCCATGCCAACTTGCCGGCTCTGGCGAGTCTACGCGAATCGACGCCCTCGAGGCTAAGTCGACGCTGACCGACGCTGGTCGACGATAAATCGGCGACATCCCATCGATTACCAGACGCCAGTCAACGATTACCCGCGTTCGGCGTTTCAACCCCCCCTCCCCCTGGCTTTTGGCGGGGGCGGCGGGGCTGGACAGGTGGTGTAGAGCCCGGCCAGTGCATCTTTGCGAGGCGGGGATTCATCCATATCCACCGCCTGGGAACCGACGTCCCGGTGTCCCAGCGGGCGGTGGATATGGATGTATTTCGGCCCCTGGGGGCCGGAATATGTCCACATCCGCCGCCTGCCGAGGCTCCGAAAACTGACCCTGCAGGCGGTGGATATGGATCAGTTCCCGCCTCGGAATCTTGGGATCGTGGAGAAAAAAGGGTAAGAAGAGACTCCCATGAGCTGCTACCGACGAAGCCCTCGTGGGTGCTGATCCGCGCCCCGCTTAGGAGGCAACTACTGTGAGGTTTTCGTCGGAAAGATTAAGGAGGATTAAGCCCCATTTGGGAGCTGTTACGCCGGAAAGGGCCTCGGACTAAGCAAGATTAAGCCGGATTAAGCGGGATTCAGCGGGATTCAGCCAGAATAAGCGGGATCAAGCTGGAGTAAGCCGGATTTCGGACCAGGGCAAAATCAGAATTTGACCTCCCAGGAGTTGCATCCGAACCCATGAGCTGCTACCGACGAAGCCCTCGTGGGTGCTGTTCCGCGCCCCGCCAATCCTCGTTGAGCTGCAGCCACCCGCTCTTGTGCGACATGCGCACCGCGTCGTCCTGCAGCAGCCCGGCACCCAGGCTCTGTGCTGCCGAGGCCGGCTGGCCGCCCCCCGCGCGCGCGTTGAGCTGCTGGTACTCCTCCGCTTCCTTTCGAGGGTCGCCGAGCACGTTCCACTATTCGCAAAGTGCCTATTCGCACACGTCCGAAAAAAACACATGTCTCCTTTGATGAAATCTATCGTAGATCCCTCGCGGGGGATCCAGGCCACTTGCGAGTAGCTACTTCGCGAGTGATGGAGCGCACTCGTCGAGAGGGGCAACTGTACAAAGGGGAGCAATCAAAGACATTAGCATAACAACTCGGAGGCCAACGCGGCATTCTCGGAGCGCCGCTGGCCCCCCTCCTTGGCGGGCTGGGGCGCGCCCAGGGGCGGCGCCGGAGGCGCCGCCAGGGGAGCCCGAGCGCAATCCGAGAAATCCGCGTGGACCGTCGAAAATGCATGTTTATGTCATGTGTTATGAGTATTATTCTTCTACGTCGAAGGTGCATATGTAAGGGGTTGGTTATGCTCGCTGATGTTTTTTCTATAACTCGTCGTGGTCGTAGTATCATTATGACTATCATTACTACTACCATCAGTATTGTTCTTAGTGCGAGAATGGTTGTTATTATTATTAGTGGCAGTAGTAGTAGCATTACTAGTTGTTGTAGTTGCAGTAGTAGTAGTAGTAGTAGTAGTAGTAGTAATAGTAGTAGTAGTAGTAGTAGTAGTAGTTGTCGTAATAGTGATTCGTAGTCGTAGTAGTAGTAGTAGTAGTAGTAGTAGAAGAAGTAGTAGTAATAGTAGTAGTAACATTAATGTAGTAGTAGTAGTAGTAGTAGTAGTCGTCGTAGTAGTAGTAGTAGTAGTAGTAGTAGTAGTAGAAGTAGTAGTAGTAGTAGTAGTAGTAGTAATAGTAGTAGTAGTAGTAGTAGTAGTAATAGTAGTAGTAGTAGTAGTAGTCGTAGCAGCAGCAGCAGCAGTAGTAGTAGTAGTAGTAGTAATAATAATAGTAGTAGTGGTCGTAGTAGTAGTAGTAGTAGTAATACTAATCGTAGTAGTGGTCGTAGTAGTAGTAGTAGTAGTAGTAGTAGTAGTAGTGGTAAGAGTAGTAGTAGTAGTAGTAATAATAATAGTAGTAGTGGTCGTAGTAGTCGTAGTAGTAGTAGTAGTAGTAGTAGTAGTAGTAGTAGTAGTAGTGGTAAGAGTCGTAGTAGTAGTAGTAGAAGAAGAAGAAGTAGTAGTAATAGTAGTAGTAGTAGTAGTAGTACCCGTCTCAATAGTATGTCTGCATTCGCATTGATCTTCTGGTTCGTATCAGCAATACAATGTTAGTTCGCATCATTCGAAGTATGGTCTTAATGGTTCGTATCATCATTGTTAGCATCGTTAATCAAACTATTGATTGTCGCGTCTTCGCGTTAGGAGGACACCCTCTCAGGGGGGAAATATCTCAAGCTCGGATCGCCGATGGATCCGCGCTGGGCTTTTGATGGCGAGTCCGCCACGGCCTTGGGCGGGGTGTGGGCGGGCAGGCCCTCCTCGGCGACGAAGGTGCGATTGGGACTCGCTGCGCCCCCCTTAGACGGAGCCAGCACGAGGATAAAATCGGGGGAGGACAAATCGAGAATCTCTGAGAACCAGCGGTTCTGGAGAATCTTTATGGCGCCGCGGCCTTCTCAGAGCGTTCCGGAACGCTCTGGGAGCGTTCCAGACCGCTCTGGAACGGCGTTATCCTCGTCCTAGACCCTTCCGACCCCACCATGCGCCTGCCCGCCCGAATGTTGCCACCCCCTGGCTTTTGGGTCATAAGGAACGTAGTCGGTGTCTCGACATTGGGCGGAAGGGGGGGTGAGGGGAGGAGGTCTGGCCCTGGACATCTGCTTTACACGCCTGTTTGCAATTGTGCGTCCCATGGGGGAGACCCCACCTGCTTGAAGAGAGCGCGGAGAAACAGCCAAGATCTGCTCCATGGAGGGGGAGGTTGTGCGAGGGCCCCCGCGCCGATCGGCAAAGAAATTGATCAGAAAACGATCTCATAACTGAGTATCGTTCAACCGATCCCCATCCCCAGCGGCGTGGCCTGGGCCCGGCTGGCCAGTTTACCCCCCTAGATGGGGATATAGGTCGTTCTCTTCGGGTTTCGAAGGGTGTATCCCCAACTGGGGTGGTAATTTGCTGGGGGTCTCGAAGGGGATGGAGATGGGGATGGGGATCGGTTAAACGATACCGAATAACACAGCTCTCCGACGGCCGTTTGCGACGGTCCCGGCATCCACGGAACGCTCTGATGAGGCGCAAGTGCTGGAGGGCAGCCCGAGGCTGGAAGAGCGCCGAGAGCCAGCGAGCACGCCGGAGAACCTGGGACCGAAGAGGCGATTGGGGGGTCGATGCACCGTCTCTAAGAAGCCAAACTCTATTGGGCGTTGCTTAATGGGGGGTTCACAAATGGGGGGGTCAGAAAAGGTCCCCTTTCGTGCCCCTTTCGGGCCCCTCCGAGGCCCCAGGGGGCTCGTTTGGGTACCGTTTGGGTACCTTTTCGAACCACCCTCGCCACCCCCCCATTTATGACCCCCCCATTACGCAACGCCCAACTATATACACCAGTGCTTTTTGCCGGCCCCGCACGGAAACCCGCACAGGAAAACGGAGGATCCTGGTGTATTCGGGATCCTGGTGTTTACATGTTCCGTTGCTTCCACAGGGAAGACGGGGGCAAAAAGTAGACACCACACCACCTCGACGTCGTCCACGACCCTCAACCGTTTGGCGCTCCGCGCGGATTTCTTGGATTGGGACGCACATGGACATACTAATACTAGATGTCCTCCTTGGAGGCGCGCGTCCGACCCGAACATATAGTATACCCATCTTGTAGTATATCGTTTCCCGAGCGGTGTGGCCAGAAAGCGCCCGCCACGACGCATATACTATAAGATTTCTCGGTGCGCGCGTCGCCCCTGGGGGGGCGACGCACATATAGTATAAGTATGTTGGGGTGTTGCCGATGGATCTGCGCTGGACCCCCTCCCCGGCGCTCGGAGCGCGGCGGGGGCGGCGCCGGAAACGCCGCCGGCAGGTCCCAGCGCGGATCCAAGAGTCCGCGCGCAGCGCCAAAAGTGTATATGTTTTATGCAATGCTTGATCTTCTGGGAATTAATGCATATGCTCCAATGTCGACCTTCCCTGAGCCTGCCACCTGGAGCGCACCTTTTCCTGTGCAAGCTCTTCGGCACCGCCTGCACCCCGGGCTCCGCCCGCTCCGGCCGCCCGAGGCCCCGCCCTCCTGTGCCCTGTCTCCCTGATGAAAGCTGTGCGCAGCCCGCCTAGCGTTTAGCGGAAGAGGTTCGCTCCCGCCCCGCCGACTAGCTCCACTAGAGATGTCCATATCATATGGACATCTCTAGTGGATATCATGCCTAATTCATATGGACCATATGAATTAGGCATGATATCCAAAAATCTTCCTAGAGCTAATGCATATGCTCCAATGTCGACCTTCCCTGAGCCGGCCACCTCCCCCCCAGACGCCGCCCCCGGTCCTTGCCCCGCACGACGGCCCGCCGCTGCTCGTTCGCGAGCCGCGCGGCCTCGCCGCTGTGCGCCTGGCAGCTGCCGTGCAGGGAGCGGAGCTCCTGCGTGATGTCGGTGGGGCGGCTGGTGATGCTGGTGTACCCGAAGGTGGCCTCGAGTAGGACCTCCTCCTCCACCTCCTCCTCCTCCTCCCTCCCTCTTCTTAACCCTCCTCCTCCTCCTCCTCAAGGACATTCTATGTGGATCGCCGCGGGGGTTGCTGACAGGGCAGGGGGGTAAAAGTGGATGCCAAGGTGGGTTCTATCCAGCCTGACGCAGCTCAGAAGTGGCTTGCACGTGCCCTTACTAAGTGGCTTAGGGCGTCATTCGAAGCCAAATAAGGAACTTGTAACCCACACATAAATAGGGTTAGGTCAGATAGAACCCACGTTAGCATCCACTTCTAACCCCCGATTCCCCTCAGAAACCACCGCGGCGATACAAGTAGTACTCAATGTCCTCCTTGGAGGCGTGCGTCCGACCCGAACATATAGTATACCAGACTTGTAATAGATCGTGTCCAAAGCGGTGTGGCCAGAGAGCGCCCGCCACGACGCATATATTTGGAGTCCCGAAACGGTGCGGTGACAGACCGTGCGGTGACCTCGAAATCCCCGAAGACCTCACCGTACGGTCCGTCAACGCACGGTTTTGGGACCCTGGAGGCTCCAGTCGCCCGAGACGTCCTCGGAGAACGACCCGAGTCCCAAAACCGTGCGGTGACCCCGAACCCCCACCGACTCACCGCACGGTGTGGTCACCGCCCCGTTTGGGGGCCCCCGAATATACTATAAGATTTCTCGGTAAGCGCGTCGCCCGGGGGGTGGCGACGCACACATAGTATTATCATGTTGGGGTGACGCCGATCGAGGACTCCGTTCCAGTTCGTCCGAATATATTTCGTCCGAACTTCGCTTTTTCCTATGGATCTCGTCCGAGTCTGATCGTTTGCTTCGATGCGTCCGCTTCGATTCGTCCGGGGTTCGTCAAGGGCTGCGTGATGTCGGTGGGCCGGCTGGTGATGGTGTGCCCGAAGGTCGCCTCAACCTCAGAGGACCCTGTAACCGACATAACGTTGTCTGAATGGTTCCCCGTTGTGCTATTTGTTTGCCGGTTCCGCAGCCGTTTTCTTCCCAATTACGGTTCCGATTCCAACTCTGGAGCCGTCTTTGTGGACGTTTCCGGTCGACGATGCTTGACCGCTTCCGCTTTCAAGAAACATATGTTCGGAAATGTTGAACAAAAAACGGCACTGCCGCTTACGCGGCGAACTGAGGCCTCGAGCACCTCCGCCACGTCGTACAGGTCGTGCGTGCCGTCCTCGAGAGGAACAAAAATGGCACAAGCATGCGCCTTCGGAGCTCCGCGAAGGTCCATTGGACCTGCGCTTGGGTCGGGCATGTCCTCCTACAGGCGGAGCTTGGAAGAAAAATTAAAAACAATCAACACATATTCAAATAACATTCAAACAGAGTGAAGAATACACAACAAATCGTCCCCATATTATATTTCAGCTAGTTTTGAATGTTTCTCCTGCAGACATGCCCGAGTTAGACCTGCGCTGAACCCCCCTCCCTGGTGAGCGGAGCGCGCCCGGGGCGGGGCCAGAGGCAGCACCAGGGGGGCGCCCGCGCCGATGCGAGAAGTCCTCGCGGATATCCGAAGGTTGATGCCTGCGCCGTGTTTGCGAGCGAATTCTTCATCGGCGTCTCGGCAATTGGGCGGAAGAGGGGGGGGGTCAGGCTTCGGACATCTGCTTCATGTGACTGCTTGCAACGGTGCGCCCTATGGGAGAGACTCCGCCTGCTCGAACCAGGCGCCGAAAACAGCTAAGATCTACTGCATGGGAAGGGGGGAGGGGGTGCGAGGGCCCGCGCCGATCGGCAACACAGTGAATGAGAAAACGATCGCTTGCTGCTCTTCCTCGGGTCCCTGTTCGGGCCGGCCCCAGCGAACGAGATCGTCGCCGTCACGACCGGGCCGTGGCCCTCGAGCTGGGCCGTGCACGCCTCGAGGCCCTCGAGCTGCTCCCCCGAGAGGGCCGAGGGCAGGGCCTGCGACGCGTCCACCACGTCCACCGCGCGCGCCGGCGCCCCTCCTCTCGAGCAAGGGGTCGACTGTACAGGGCAGTTTCTAATACATAGAGGACCTCTTTTACAAAACATAGGATTTAAATACATGATCAGCTTGTGAATAAATCTATGCATGAACTGATCGCTGTTTTTAATACTGAACCCCTGCATTTTTACTACACGATCCGCACGCGGAGCATGCACTAAAAACGGCACTGTACGGAGTCGGATTGTCGCGAACTCGATGTCCCCCGCCGCGCCCACGGACAAACACGCAGAATGTCTCGCAGATCCACGAACATCCTCGAAACTCAAATTCTCGCCATGGCTCGGACGTCCGTTCCCCGTGCATCTGTCGGTCTCGCACGCGTGTTTTTGTTCGCAAGATGGCCCGAAATGCTCCTCGATGGCCCTCGCCGAGCAAAAAGTGCACACGTCCGAGCGATATTAAAGAGTTCGGAACAAATCAAGTCTGTAGTCGGTCTGCTACTCGATCCTTCGGCGCCGCCGCCGCGCTCCGCCTGCGCCTGCTCCTGGCATCGCTGCCACAGCGCCACGACCTCGCCGAGGCCGAGCAGGCTCAGGCCGACCTTGGCCTTGGGCCTGAAGGTGACCCTCGGTGCCTGCGAGGCGCCCCTCCTCCTCCTCCTCCTCCTCCTCCTCCTCCTCCTCCTCCTCCTCCTGTTCCTCCTTCTGCTCCTCCTGCTCCTGCTGCTCCTCCTGCTCCTCCTCCTCCTCCTCCTCCTCCTCTTGCTCCTCCTCCTCCTGTTCCTCCTCCTCCTCCTCCTCCTCCTCTTCCTCCTCCTCCTCCTCCTCCTCCTCCTCCTCCTCCTCCTCCTTTTGCTCCTCCACCTCCTGCCGCTGCGGGCCGCTCGCGGGTCTCCGCGTAATCCCGCGACGCCCGAGCGCGCGCCGCCGCGCGCGGGCACCGCGCACGCGTGCTCGGACGCGTGCCGTGCACGCATCGAAACGCGCCGACGCCGAAAAAACCGAACGCGCGAGGCGAAAGCGAGGCGAACGCGCACGCTGAACGCGCACACGGCCCCCGCCCATGCCGAAGTCGGGGGAAGACGCCTCCTGGGCTCGAGAGGAGAGGGGAGGAGGCGGGGCCAACGAAACCGAGGAACCGAGGCCAGGCCAGGGGGAGAGGAGGCCGCCTCTGGAATAGGAGGGAGGAAACGAAGGCCTCCGAGGGCCTCGGGCGTGCGCCCGACGGGCCCCTTGTCAAAGGGGGTCCGTCTCCTCTTCCCCCCTCAGCGGCCGCCGTCACCCCCCAACCCTTCTGCCGAGGACTAGGCGCGCTCACCGCCAAGGGGGGGGCTTCGCGGTGGTGTAGGGATCTGCGAGCTCGATGCCGCTGAGCCCTTGAGGTTGTTGCCTCCAAAGGTATGCGTGTGCCCATGTTACGGGCAGCAACACCGAGGCGGCGTGAACCCATCGGTCCGCGCGCAGCCCCTGCTCGCACTATGGAGCCGCGGCCCTCATCCTCAGCCCCAGACAACCTTCCGAAGGGGATGTTGGCTCCGAGGGGACACGCCACGACTCCCCGCGGTGCGATGGCTCGCTCCCGTCACCTGACTATCCTCCGAAGGGGTGCAGGCTCCCAGCCGCGTGCCATGCAGCGCCCCAGGAAGCGACTGTCTGCGTGCTTCCCGCTGGGACTTGCGTTCTATCTTTTGGTCGTCCATCACGATTGCGTTGCATCATCCCCCCACCCTTCGGCGCTGTGCGCTGCGGGGTCTGCTCGTGGACTCGTATGCTCGCTCTCTCCGACGTAGCGGTCGTAGTAGGTGACGTATTCGTTGAGGCCGCGAGTCTCTTGTACGTCGATGTGTGTTTTTTTTCCGCGTGCCGCCGCCGGGATTTTTGTTGTGCCGTCGTCGCCGTCGCTGGTGTTCAGGAAGTGCTTCCTTGCGATGAATGGGTCGGTCACGGCGACGAGGTTGTCTCTCAAGGCGATGTACTTCGTGTGGGGCAGTTGCCGCCGTTGGCCCGATGATCATCAAGCAGGCCGTGTCATTAGCAACGCACGTGTACATGAGGGCGATGGCGTCTCGCATTTTCGCGGTATCTTCCATGATGGTCGTAGAGTCGTGCCTGCTGGAATCTCTGCTACCCCGCGGGCGTTGTTCGTCGCGGAGTTGACTGCTGTTTCCAAGGCCCGGCGTGGACTTCTTGTAGTCTGTGGCGCCGGTTTGTGCCATTCCGTATAGCATCGTGGATAGCGTTGTTGGTGTGGTCGGGCTTTTTGTCGTTGTGCTTCTGGCTGATGTGGCGATCTACGGTAAGTATGCGTACTCGTCGGCGATATTGGTTTGCTTGCTGCTCGATGCCGTTTACGATGCGCATAGTGTCGTCACTGGTGGCATTCTGGTCAGTGATGATCAGGATTGTCGCAGTCTGATGTGGCCTTTCGTTGCATGGCTCTGCTGTCACCCCGTCGGTTGTATCGGGTCGGGTATGGCGTAGGCGACGATCGCCTAATAAGACGCCATTTGTCCTCGTCGCTCGTCTTGCTCTTCGTCTGCTCGCGGTGACAGAGGGGCTGGTGCAGGGGGCATCGAGATGCGTTCGTCAATCGCGCCTGTGCATTGTGCAAGTGGCGGTCCGTGGAGTTGGACGCAATGGCGTTCTGTGTAGTCTGCCGGTAGTCCTGTGTTTTTGTTGGCCCGCCGTATGCGCCGCATCTCCGCGGGCGTGTCGTTTGCTGCGCCATCGCCGAGCCGCTTGCGGAACTGCATGGCGCAAGGTGCACGCTGTCGGCTGGCGCGCACGTGCTCGCACAATCGTTTGACAGTCCAATGCTCCTTCCTACAGACCTGGACAGTAGCCCCGCGGATGCAACTGATAACGCTTTCCTTCTGGCTGCGCTTCGCGCGCATGTGCTTTTGACGCGCTGCCTTGCCGTTCAGGATCTGCCCGCATCCGTCGCATGAGTACCTGCAATCGTGCTGTGGGGCTTCGCTGTCAAATGTCGGAATAAAGGTGCCGTCGCAGATGCCGTTGACGCGTCGTCTCCAGGCAGCTGCGGATGATTCGTCTTTGTTGCACTCGATGGCTAAATTGCAGACATGTGTGGTTATACTCTTGAATTCGGATAGTTCGTCTTTTGCCATGCCCATCAAAATGCATATGCCGTTGTGGTTGGGCGTGTTGTGGCGCTTGCGTGTGTAAGTTTTGGTGTGGAGATCGTCTGCAATCGCAATGGACCATCTGTCGTTGTTTTCGGTGCCGTAGTCAAGCAGGGCTCTTAGTCCAGTCGGGCACGCGGTGGTGACCCGCATGCTATCTCGTAGCCTTGCTTGCCGTAGTCGTTGTAGGAGTGTCACGATGCCTGCCCAGCTGGTGGTCTCGATGTTGGCGATGTTCTCACGCTGGGTTGCCTGAAGGTCAATGCCCAGTCCCATCCTCGCAGCCGCTGTGTAGGCAGTGGTGATCCTGTCCGTGTCCGTATTTCTTGCAGGCATCCAGGTACCTGCGTTTTGTAGTAGCCGTGAGTAACCAAGAGCATTGAGGTAATGCGCATCTCCTTTAACTGATATACTCGTGCTGCAGCGCCCTGGGAGAGGCAGTTCCGATTGTTCAACATTGCGCCACAGACATTGGTCGAGCGCGCGATAGTGACTGTCACCCCTTTGTCCGTGTACTGCTTCTAATCGATAAGCATATTTCTCACATGTCGTTTATTTGTTCATCCTTGTTGTGAGCGAAAATGAAGAAGTTGGAATTGTTTGTGTTGGTGGGGGGCCCTCGTGGTAGTGTCGTTCGTATCAGCACCCCCGCATGGTTGCGACGGTGGACTCGATCGCATTGCCGTCGATGACCGTTGCCAAAGCTATCACCTCGTCGACGAATGACGTTGTCGCCATGTGCTGGAATTCGGGATTCGTGCTGAATGTTGGACGGCTGGCTGGTATTCTCACGGTGGCGTCCGCTTTTATGGCCTCTTCGTGATATTCTTTCTTTCGCAACTGCAGACATCAACGCGTTGAACGTGACATCGGCGATCGGTGCCCCTAGTCGTGCTCCTAGTCTTGGTGCTGCGTAGTCTGACTCACGCTGCGTGAAGAACCATGTGTTGCCGTGGGCTTCGGTCAGCATCGAGGCCAGATGCTCGGTGTCAGCGCGGGCGCTGGCGATGCCATTGTTGTTCATGAGGGCCTGAAGGATGTCCACGCGGCCGATCAGGCCGCCGATGTCGCCGGAGCTCATCTGCATGTCGGTCGTATACAAAATTCGTGGCTACTTGGTGAACTGTAGATTTCTCGTCGATCACGAACACGATGAGGTCGGTTCCTTCCGCGGCTGCGGAGTTGAAGGTCACGCGCATAATGAGGCGGTTGTAGTCCGTGCTGTAGTGGTTTCGACCTCCCATCTGAGTGCTGAAGAATAGCCCACGTAGCACGTATTTCATGCACTGTCGTGAGTTGCTGTAATGGTGCTTGGTGATGGTGCTGGCGAGCGATATTGGTCAGTGTGTTGTAGCATCTCTTCGGCCCCTTCCCCTGTCCAGAAATGTGTCATTCGCGATCCTTCGTGCGTCGCTGCTTCTCGGATGAACAGTGCCATATTTGTAATGATCGGGCGCATGTGGCGCGCCATCTGTCGTGGTGCCGCGTGGGCACGGTCGTCGGTAACTGCGTCAGGCACTGCAGCTCGTCCGAGTTTGCACCGCGCCAATTTATCTTCGACCTTGTAGATGCTGGCGAAAATGTCGATGCTTCGTACCGCAACGCTGTCGCAGATGCCGTCCGCGTTGTTGTATCACGTTGAAATGTCGATCTTTGTCAGGTAGGCTGCAGCTTCCATGATGCCGAAGTGGTGGGCGGCCTCGTTGTGCTTAAACGGAACGTCTGTAATAACCTCGCCGTTGCTGTCCATCATCATAGGGACTGCCCGTGTCTTACGGCGCCTGCGCCAACCAATAAGTATATGCAGTCGTACCCGCTTGCATTCATGGCATGGCTCATTGATGTGCCTCGCTTCTGCTGCCCATGCTTGCCGGTTGAGGAACTCGTCGTAGTCGTCGTTGGCCAATGGTGATGGTGTTTTCCGAGTGTAATGGTACCAATCTCGTGCAGCGTGGAAGAATCCATTGTAGTCGGTGCTGATGTTAGCCCGCTGTGCTTCGATGGCAGGTCGTATATGTCAGCTGTAGTGCTGGTCGGTGTATTCTGTCGGTAAGCTTCCTGCCGGGCGTTCGATTTTGTAGGCTATATACTTGGTGATTCTTCTGGTAACTAAAGGGTGCTGTGGCCCATGCTGCGCTGCGTTCCGCAGTAGCTTGGCGAGTCGGCGCCGGTCAATGATGAAAGAGCAGGTCTGGTCGGAAATGTACTCCTGCATCTTATTGTGCTGGCTTTCGGGAAATGCTGCAGCGGCTGCCTCCATAATGCTGCGCGTGCAGAAGTAGGCGCGCTGGTGGGCATGGTATACCAGTCGAGGATCACCGTCGCAGCAAGCATCTGCTTAAACTTGTTGATCGCCCCCTCGCCCGTCAGCTTTGTTTGGTCAATATTTGGGAACAGCTTCCTGTTGGCCCTGGTAAATATTTAGCAAGCAACTTGTGCGAGCACTGGGGCGTGATCTTCTCGTGGCTGGTCCGCGTTGGCACGCTTTTTAT